GGCATCCGCTTCCCAGAATGTCAAAGGCTCTGATACCAAATTGATAGAACCTGCCAAAATTGAATTGCCCAGATGAAATATTATTTGATTAGTTAATAAGGCGAATCACACGGGATTCGAATTAATAGGAATTTTATTGAAGTGAAAATTACAAACTCAATGACTAAAGAAATGAGAGATTAACAAGGCAAGTTTCCAGAGTTGCCTCCTCTCCTAATGATTCAGATTTCCACTTTTCTGAATGAATATTCCAGACCTATCCTTCTCTAACGACTTCAACAATTCTAGAATATTCCCTCCAACTCCTCTACACGCCTTTCTTATGACGATGTTGGTAAGTGAATTTTATGGGAGGTTTATCGATTTTCCATCTTACCGAAATAAAGGCAGCTATCCAATGCCAAGCAAGAAGTAGAGGAATCTCATTTGAAGAACACTATTGTATATAGTATTATTGTAACACTAGACTAGTGTTCAAATGTATGGGGAGAATTGGACTCAAACCAGAAGATTTTAGTTGTTATTCAAGCTGATTTGTGCATTGGTGGATCTAGGGAAGGACTGGGCTGTACAGCCTGTCCCCCCAGCCCAATTCACCTTTGAAATAAATATATTTTAAAGTAAAAAGAACTTTTTATGTGTAATTATTTTTTTTTCTTTTTTCTTTAGCCCGTCTTAAAATTTTTCCAGTATCCACCCCTGAATTCGTGTATAGGCAGCTGTATGTTTTATGGTGGACTCTATCTATTCATTGAATTTGCTTCAACTATAGACAATGGTGTTCTTTCTGCCAAATTCAGATATTTGAAGATAATTGTTTTAGTTACTTTTCTAAAAGGTGGTGGTGATTTCTAATTTTTGTTCCATTAAAAGAACCATTAAAGTGAGAACAAGTCAAAATAGCAGAAACAATTAGGATGGGAGTGCTAGATGGCAGAAACATTTTCTGTGTTGACATGAAAACCCCCTAATTTATAAAAATGGTGTGATCCCAATATTATATCCTTCAGTAAATACTGAAAGATAGAACATAGCACGAAAAATTATTCATATAACCAAGGTCGAATTCATTGAGATATAATTATCACAAATTCATTGAGATGACTTTTTGGCTGTATTCTAAAATGAACTAATTAAAGAGGGAGAGATAGCATACCCAAGCACATATATGTCTGCTGGTAGGGGAGATTTTTAACCATTCTCTCAAGTTCAGCCCAAGATGTGGTGTCTTACCTCCTACGTTCTCTGTCCCCACGAACATCCTACAAAATTTGAGAACTGACCACTTTAAGAGTCAAGTGCAAGCTAAATTAGTGTCAAGATGAGCTTGTAAATGAGATGAAAAATGTGCTAAAATCTTTGGGTTGCATAGCAAGCAACTACAGCACGGATACCGCAGAATTCTATGTTTGGAAGGGGGGAAAAAAAAGAAAAAAAGATAGATGACATACAAGTTCAATTGTGATAAGTGTTGCAAATCAGACTGACAGATGGTGGGTTGACTAGTAATAATCTGGGAGGAATGCGTTCATTCCAGGAATTCTATTGAAGATGCAATAGCTTTGGCCTTTGAGGCTGAAGTTAGAGCTCTCTGGGGGGATTTAAAAATTTACCTCCAAAACAAACTCAAACCTATTTGGGTGGATCTTGAGTCCTTGACTCTAAAGTGGTCGTAAAGATGATCAAGAGCAAGAATAAAGAGCATTGGGAAGTAAGCTACATGCTGCAAAACATTAGTTGGCTATGCAAGCAGCTAGTTTTCCAATGACTAACGGTAAGATTAATAAAAGTCCAACTCCCTTTCCCATTAAAAAAAAAAAAAAAAAATCCACTTCTTTGAGACTTTTCTGCTTTATATTTCGCTCCCTTTCTTCACTACTTAATCGCTAAGAATCATGGTTTTTCTCAGTTACAAAAGTTTCACAAATTCCCATGCACACTTCCTACTTCATTATATAAATTATAGCCCTTTATTAGCAGCATATATTTGAGCTAATTCATGTTTTTTCTATCAAGAGATCCTTTCAACTGTATTCAAAGTCATGATCCAAAATTGAAAATGATCCAAAATTGAACTTTTCTTGATTAAATTCCCTAAAGAATATCACTGCAATTTTGTTGAGATTTTCCAGTGGAAAAAGTTGGTTCTTGGGATGGAAGATTGTCACCTGTGAGCTAACACAAGTTAAAAACCTTGCAAATGAACTGAAAACCCAACTTCAGAGCCAAATCCTGCAAGGCTTGTGGATTTTTGGTGAGAAAATACTTCCCTCTTATGACAATGCATTGTCATTGCTCAACTGCTTAACACATATTGGGAGTGAAGCAAATGCATCCGCAGAATGGATGGGTGTACCTTCTAAAAATAGGAAGATGAGTATAATGGAGAACTAATAGGAGAAAATGATGGCATTCTAAAGACAGATAGGATGGGACTCCCGTATTCGAGATTCCCAACAACGAAGAATAAAAGACCATGTTTCTTGATCCAAAAACAGAGTTAAGATCGATGGCATTTATTGTGATTGGACAATATGTGGGAAAGAAGGAAAGTCGACAGGTGCTTAACCACAGTATCAGGGAAGCTAAACACGGTTTGGGTATTTTTCATTTACAATTAAATAACATCGTTGTACATCCAGCAACCAAAAGTAGAAGGATCGCTGGGGCTTACTGGTACAAATCCTTCGGTCAGAAAGGATAAGAAATCTATGAACAAAAAAACCATATATTTGATATAAACAAAACAGAAAAATAATAAAGTTAACTTATAGTTTCTTTTAGGATCTATGTCCTGGATGCTGCATATATTCAAAAATTCCAAAGAAGGAGAATGAGGATAGAGAACTGTTCTTGCTAAGTTTACCTGAGTTTCAGACTATCAATAACCGGTCATGTGATCCGATCGTATCTTGGCTGTTCTATCTTATTTCGTGCCTCCATGAAAAAAATTCCGGCAATATAATCAGATTAAGACCTGATTAAGGATTAATCACAAAAAACACTAATCATCAACAAAATCTGTTGGGAAATTATCAACATGGGGTTTGGAGAAGAAACCAAGAAATGGAAATTCAAGAAGATGAAATTGAACAAGAAGATCAAAACTAATATGAAGGCTCAAACACAAAAATAATCTCACTGTCCTCGAACGATATTTGTCCCCTCTCAAGATTATACAAAATGCTTCAAGGGTGTTTTACGTTAAACAGTTCGTAGAATTGATCGAGCCTTGTTGCAGAAAAACACTAAAGCATAAATGTTTTTCCACCTGAACTTGAAGAACACATAGGGAATGTATGAATATGGAAGAAAGGAAGATTGATTCTTTTTGTGGAATGTAAAAATAAGATTTTCATATACTTTTCAATGTTATGTATTGATCCTTCAACACCTATTTATAGATGTCAATCAATACCTCCACGAATTGGTGCCAAAAAGTCATGAAGAGTTGCAAGAAACCCTCCAAAAGCCACCAAAAACCAACTGAAAAAGGGCCTCCAACAGTCACCTTTTATCTACCATGAGACCGCATGGTGTTGCCCAGCGCCCAGTTATCTGCAATAGGTCGCATGGCCCTTGGCCTATGTGGTCGCATAGGCCATATCTTTGGCATCTCCAATTCCTTTTCGTTCCACATACCGTTTATTGATTTTGAACAACTATTCCATCAAAATCGCCCCAATTATCCATGTGGCACACATGAATTCAATCAATTGATTGGATGATAACCATCAAAACTTCAAAACATAGTTTTCGCACCATTGCATATTATTTTCACAACAAAATAATAAATTGAGTTTTATTTCCATAAAAATTATATAATTAACTATTTCAATTAATCCTACTGCATATTTTTTGAGTAAAAGAAGAAAATAATTTAAACTTCTCGAATCAATTGATCTTAAAAAACATAGCTAATTAGAAACTACAATTATCGCAGAGAACAGAATATTATTTTTAAAAATAAATAAAAATAACTTGCCGGAGCATACCGGATAATTCTTCCGGTACAATGGTGTGGCTTCTGTCGCTGAAATCTTACTTATTGTTCTGTGATCTGATTGAAATTAGTGGGCTCCTTATATTACACCAACTTCCAAACAGTACTACATTTGGCCGAGAGTATTATATCAAGAGGTCAATTCATCGCTTTATTCCAGAACAATAAATACAATATGATGCTTCGACATTGAATTGGGTTCCCCGCGTATCAAATGATAAAGAAATAGAAAAGTTATTCATGATAAGTATTAAGTAATATACCCTTGAATTTCTGGGCTTTGTTCTCATTATTTATGCCGGAACACAGTGAGATTTGGATAAAAATACGAATGGAGTGTTTGACTGAATACTGAATAGTATAAAACAGCCATTTGTGCAGGGGAAATGGAGGCAGCATCGACAAGCCACGTATGTTATTTATTTATGGGTTCTCTTTGGATAATCATTAAAAGGTCAAGGACCAAAGTTGCAATTTCATTCAAATCAGTATTACTACAACGACTTCTGTCTATCAATGGAGTAGATGGTTCCTAAATCAAATGGGAAAAGCCACTTGTACAGAAAATGTCTATAGAATTGCACCAGATAGTCACACATGCGAGCTCCAATCATGAATAAAAAATACCAAAAAAAACTTCTCGGCCTCCTTATTGTGAGTAATCTGATAGGCTTATGTAAAACAACAGTTCTGTAACTGCAGCATAGTCCAAATCAAATTCTGTGACTAACTTAAAGAAAAACTCCATTACCAAAGTGCAACTACAGCATAACTTGACTAATAATATTTCTAATCCCATGTTTGGCTAAGCTTAAAAGATTTTCGTTTAAGTTTTTCAATTCATACATTTTAGAACACTAGTGGTGGGCCGTGCTTCGCACGTGCAATGTGTGATACAGTGTATATAATGAAGTTGAAATTTGGCTATGATATTTTAACAGGAGAGAAGATTATATAAAATATATGTTTAGGAGTAGATACATTGACAATAGTAATATGAAATACAAAATAGTGTTTTTAGGTGCCATACATAGAGGTGTTACATGCCTTACTTGAGTACATAGTTTTCAACATGTTCATATACACAATGAACAAAATTTAGCATGGCAAATAGAGATGCTGGGAATTAGGTTTCTTTGATTGTAGACATAGGTGTGCTTTAGGGATACAAAATATGTATTTTTAGGTCTTCAACAACTACTCTTGCTTTTGTTTTTTGTCTGAATGTTTGTATGCTTCATGTGAACTGCTTGGTTGTGTGATGTTAGTAGGTAAGTGGTTGTCATCTTTGGGGTGTGGTTCAAGGATAAAGATGATTTCGTATGGTGTTTTGTTGATGGTTGCCTCCATATTTACAGCTTTGATGTATACAATGTTGTCATGTGCAGTATTTGTTGGAACTATGGAGCTGATCTTCGTATGTTCCTGTTGGGATGTTTATTGGAAGTAGTTAATAATACATTTGTTTGAGGGGAAAAAAGTAATAGGCAGGAAAATGTAATTTTGAAATGGTTACCTCAGAGCTTTGTTTCATCAGTTCAGTTGCTGAACATTTCAAGAATGTTTCAGCTGGTTTTCCAATAATTGATGCTATGATTGACCCTGTGGAGTCCTGTAACTGAACGATTGCTCTTGCTCTGTTAGAGTGTAGGTGGAATCATTGTTAGTGTTTTGGGATGTATTTGATTACTATTAGAAGTTAAATAATGAATGTAATGAAATAGATAATGTATTTGTGAGATAATTATAATCTAACCTTGGAGTTGGTGTAGCGGAGCTGTGCTTGCAAAATCTACATGAATAAGTTTCGTTTACAGTTGCACTTGCAGATTTGTTGCAATTGTCACATGACAGATACCACAATGGTTTGTCTATTTCAACTAATGTGACATTTGCTCTTGTCCAGAAGTGTCGTTGCTGCAATGTGTTCATACCGGATAATTCTTCCGGTCAAATGGTGTGGCTTCTGTCGCTGAAATCTTACTTATTGTTCTGTAATCTGATTGAAATTAGTGGGCACCTTATATTACACCAACTTCCAAACAGTACTACATTTGGCCAAGAGTATTATATCAAGAGGTCAATTCATCGCTTTATTCCAGAACAATAAATACAATATGATGCTTCGACATTGAATTGGGTTCCCCGCGTATCAAATGATAAAGAAATAGAAAAGTTATTCATGATAAGTAATATACCCTTGAATTTCTGGGCTTTGTTCTCATTATTTATGCCGGAACACAGTGAGATTTGGATAAAAATACGAATGGAGTGTTTGACTGAATACTGAATAGTATAAAACAGCCATTTTCGCAGGGGAAATGGAGGCAGCATCGACAAGCCACGTATGTTATTTATTTATGGGTTCTCTTTGGATAATCATTAAAAGGTCAAGGACCAAAGTTGCAATTTCATTCAAATCAGTATTACTACAACGACTTTTGTCTATCAATGGAGTAGATGGTTCCTAAATCAAATGGGAAAAGCCACTTGTACAGAAAATGGCTATAGAATTGCACCAGATAGTCACACATGCGAGCTCCAATCATGAATAAAAAATACCAAAAAAAACTTCTCAGCCTCCTTACTGTGAGTAATCTGATAGGCTTATGTAAAACAACAGTTCTGTAACTGCAGCATAGTCCAAATCAAATTCTGTGACTAACTTAAAGAAAAACTCCATTACCAAAGTGCAACTACAGCATAACTTGACTAATAATATTTCTAATCCCATGTTTGGCTAAGCTTAAAAGATTTTCGTTTAAGTTTTTCAATTCATACATTTTAGAACACTAGTGGTGGGCCGTGCTTCGCACGTGCAATGTGTGATACAGTGTATATAATGAAGTTGAAATTTGGCTATGATATTTTAACAGGAGAGAAGATTATATAAAATATATGTTTAGGAGTAGATACATTGACAATAGTAATATGAAATACAAAATAGTGTTTTTAGGTGCCATACATAGAGGTGTTACATGCCTTACTTGAGTACATAGTTTTCAACATGTTCATATACACAATGAACAAAATTTAGCATGGCAAATAGAGATGCTAGGAATTAGGTTTCTTTGATTGTAGACATAGGTGTGCTTTAGGGATACAAAATATGTATTTTTAGGTCTTCAACAACTACTCGTGCTTTTGTTTTTTGTCTGCATGTTTGTATGCTTCATGTGAACTGCTTGGTTGTGTGATGTTAGTAGGTAAGTGGTTGTCATCTTTGGGGTGTGGTTCAAGGATAAAGATGATTTCGTATGGTGTTTTGTTGATGGTTGCCTCCATATTTACAGCTTTGATGTATACAATGTTGTCATGTGCAGTATTTGTTGGAACTATGGAGCTGATCTTCGTATGTTCGTGAGTTGATGAAAGGAGAGAGTTAAATTGTTCGTTCACTTCAACAACGTTAGTTTTTGCGTTGATTGTCCATCTAATATCACCAAGCTGAGCTCTGTAGTTTGTATCTGTTTGTTTAACTTGTGCATTTGAGATGAGGTATGTTTTGTGTGGTAGTAAGGTATCCTCGAAAGCTGTGATGGAGCTATCAAACAACGTGGCTTGAACTTTGTTTCCCTATATATAAATTAAGTTAAAAGTGTATTTTAGAAAGTTGGATATAGGGTAATTTTAAGGGAAGGGAATAATGTAGGTTTAATTTGAATGGTGATTGGTTACTGAAATGAATATAGGAAGATGTTGGAATAAATTTATTAGAGTAAATTAAAATGTTTATAGTTTAGTTATTGTATATATTTTAAATACTCAAAAATATTCAATTGATTATGGACTAATCTGTTTTTTGTTACAATCAATTAATATGATAGGATTAAACTTTGTCTAGCATTGTAGGATTCAAAATTAATAAATATGAATATTCAAACGTTGAGTTAGAGTTTTTTTGAAATCAATAAAGGAATAACTACTTGGGAACTATAAGTAGAGTTTAAATACTAATATGATAAGTTTATGCTTATAAAATAGTTTGTATGTACCTAATTGAATTTCAACATGTGGTTCTACGTTGGTGCAAAATTTGAAAGTCTTTCAATCAACTTGCGAACCAAGTATCAAAAAAGAGAAATAGATATGGACATGTGCAAGAAAATTATCATCAATAAATAGATATGGATATGTGCAAAAAAGCACACGACGTCAGATTATTTGCAAAAAAGTATTTACTTCAGGTATTGTAATCGTCATATTCTCAACGTACACAAAAATCAAAAGTTGAAATAATGATTGAGGTAAAGACAAAAATGAAACTGTAGGATTATCCTGTTGCTAGCGATGAATAAAAGACAACCAAAAAATGTAGATAAACAAGAAATTCAATCTTATATTCTGATCCCACTTCAATAATTGATAAAACTAAAAAGTCTTGAAGAAGATCATATGTTAATGTTTAATTTCTTGTATGTGATCAAAAAACTATGGAACAGTATAATGTCAATCAGTAAGAAATAAAGAATTAAAATAGGTCTGAACATCATTGATTTTGTGAAGTCAAATTTAAATTTTGTTATGAATTCTGTAAATGAATTTATTCATTATGATTATGTGAGAGAAACTAAGTTAAAAGTGATCCTCTCGTGCATTAAAAGTTGGTGAAAAAATAATAAAAATATTTGAATATTTAGCTTCAGTTTTGAAAATTAAAATTTAATGGTATTAAGTTTACTTAAGTAATGATGAACCAATGTTCTATTCATGTAATTGCTTTGAGATTGAAATGTATATTCTATATAAAGGAAGTTGGAAAACCACAGCATATAGTTTGGAAGAAAGAAATTTAAATTATATGACAAGAGTTACCTTAGGATCCATTAACCAGATGTGTTGGTATTTTAATTAGCTGTTTCGAGCTTTGGTTGGAGAACATTTTTTTGAAACTATTGCCTTTACTGTCCAGCTGGAGTCTCCAGGTTTTATGTCAGGTATTAGCTTATATTCTATGGGCATCTCCATCTGCAAAAAATTGAACCTGATTAGTAGCTAATAATTGTTAGAAGTGAAAGTGTTAGAATGAAATGCAACAATTGGAAGATATGTGGAATGATGGTTTGCAAAATATTTCCATTAAATAGATTGTGTTGAATGTAAGAAAGAGAAGTACAATGGTAAATTTAAAGGTGGAAAACTGAAACTGGAAAGGAGAAAATATTTGAAGGTTTTGTGGTACCTTGTATACACGCTGAGAGATTAGATGGTGGTGGGAAAGACTGATCAAAGGTTTACAATGTCTGAAGGATGAATTTTTAATTTAAATAGAGAATGGAATGTTCTTGGTGGCAGGCAGAAACTTTGTTTACTGTGACAAGCAAGGGCATGAAGGAAATAAATGGAGGTAGTGGGTTGTCAGGTAGTACATGTGGTTTTTTGCATGTGACAGGTGTTTTGTTGTTGGAGCAGTAAGTTTTTCAGGTCAGTGAGTAATGTTTATGGTTAAATGAAAGTTATAGGTGTCACATGTTTAGACAATGAGATGTGTTAGTGATAAGTGCAGTAATAACAAGTGAAATGCATTATTTAGGAATAGCTTAAAGTTCAAAAAATGAGACAAGATGATTTTCTGAGACAGAATGCTACAAGGACCGACTGCTGAAGTTATGGAAGCAGTTAAATTGACTTGATAATTAATAAATATTAGAAGATATTTCAATATTGAAAAATGAACAATCATGGAGCTTAGTTTTATTGGTAAAGTGGAATCTAAGTGGAGAAGGATCAAACAGTACTTAGTAATAGGCCATATGAAGAATGAAATCAAACTTATTTAGTCAACAATAAGAGCCAATAGTGTACACGTAGAGATAATTTTTTGTACTTAGAGAGCAAGGATTGACATCTAACCTTGTTTCAACTGTCAATGCATCATTTGTTTTTCTCTGATAGTATGATATGTGGAAAAAAATGTTAAATTTACAAAATATAAAAACTTAATGTATATCAAAGTCAAAAATTAGTACCTTAGGTGGATGCAGCTAAATATAACGAGAGTTGTTTCTGCATTATACACAACCTACAAATTGAGAGAAATTTTATATTTTAGTGACAATGGATAGCTTAAGTGTTACATAATGAAGAAATTAGAAACAGATGAGTCACTCTTAGAAACATGTATACCTTCATTATTTTAGGATCGTTCCATGGACCCTGATTGGAGTTCAGGCATGTTCCATCAACAGCACAAGTACATGATCTACCTAAGAAGTTGAGCAATTGACTAAGGGTAGAACAACCGAGCATTAGATCTAGCCATGATCAAAAATCACATTAAACAGAAAAGGAAGAGAACAACAAACAATCTTGGATCAATGACTTCTAGTAGCTTTGTCATAGACATGGGGTTCAAAACCAGTGAAAACAGAAAATGAACATGTATTCAATTAAATGCAATTAATATGCTAAGAGATACGAATGCCAAAGGAAGTCCTTTACCTGCATTTTTGCAGTAGTTTTTCGTTTTATAAAATCAAATGGCTTAATTCACAAAAATATTGTGGCATTGAAGTTTAAAAAAAAATTACAAGTTAAGTACATAATACACTAATAGAAGAAAATCCAGATCCCTTTCTAATAAACACAAATTTCATCTTCTCAAGCTAAGCTTTAGTAGATGAAGCATTTATCTATTTTTTTCTTTCATTCAAAAAATATGTTAATACTTCATACATATTTAAAAAGTTCAATTAGTTGGTTGAAAGACTAAAAAGTCTTGGGGTTCAAAAGAAGATTAGTCAGTTACTGATCATTAATTCTGGCGGGAACCAGGCATTGAGTCACGACTCCAGAAGATACAACTCCTTTAATTTCTTCAACTTTAACCAAATCCTTCAGAAGGCTAGTGTAACAAGTGTGAATCATTTTTATTCAAGATTGGTTTGACCTTGACTTTGGCATTTTTTATTGGAAGTGAAAAACAAGAAAAT